CCCCAAAACCCCAAAACCCCAAAACCCCAAAACCCCTTGATACCCTACCTGAGTTGGGATAATTAATCACACCAAAATTCATACATTTACTAAAACTAGGAAGGGCATTCAAACCGACGAGTAGAGAATTTTAGATGTGAAGAGGCTTGTTTGAAGGTATCTATGAATGCTTGCATACAATAATAGACAATCTATACAAGCATCACATTTTATTCTAACTCTATTCTTCTTTACAGCCAGATTTCACCTCGGATCTATCGAAGAACAGTTTTTGGTACAAAGTGAGTTAAAATAATGGGAATTTGAAAATATTGCGATCTAGACTGCTAATTCTGATTTACATCTCTTCATCATCCTCATTTCTAAAGCTAGTCACTGTATTACATACTTGATAAACGATCGATAAACTTTTGTTGCCACTACACTGAAGATGAAGGCTATTGGAATCATAAGTACAGCCAAGACTACTGTCCAGACTTCACTATATCTCTTATCTTCATCTAAATCAAAGAATCAGAAAATTAGGATATCTAAAAATTCTGATGGATTATGGAACAAGGCCACGTACCTGTTTTATCTAAACAGTTTTCTCCATGCCAGCTTTCTGTTCAAAGTCACAAACCTTGAAAGCATAATCCCCTGTGGTGACAGAGAATTTCAACCCCTTGGTCTGTGATTCAGGACTGAGGAGGATAGAGTTCATCCTCTTCATCTGTCTCATGTAAAGAGGACTCTGAGGCTGGATCCTCTACACTGGACTGAACAGATGCTGGTGTACGGTCTTCAGTCTCAGTTCCCTCTTCAATTGTGCTAGATTGAGTACCAACTGACTCATCTGCTCCTCCATTTGCTGAAGAGGACTCCTCCTCTTCTGAAGCGGAGGTGTTCTCTCTAGATGTCTCAGCAACATCCTGCTGATCTTGTTGAAGCCATCTTGGGTCATTACCATTTCTAGTTGAAGTCCCAATGGATCTGACGTTGAGCTATAAATTATTTATGATCTGGTTTTAGATCCCTGAGCTTGATTGAAACCAGACTAACTAAGCGCTTGAACTAAGCCTCTGATTAACATGCTTGATACCTGAGGGTTACTTACCTTCCTTCGGAATGCTAAGCAAGTCATCAACAATAGCAAAGTTAGAAGCACCAATATTTGTCCTTTTCTTGGCCCCATTTCTAATTCAATATTTTAATCTCAAAAAGGGGTTTTGGGGTTTTGGGGTTTTGGGG